ATTGATAAAGCTAAAAGCAATATTATTATATTTATTTTGTGTTAATTATTATAAACAATTTGACAAGTGTCCTTATATCGAATCCATTATTTATTTTATAATAAAGTTCTAATTATTTAAATAATACTATAAACACTTTAATCGTTATATCTTTTCACATTAAATTTAAGTATTTTTCGGTGTTTCCTTTTAATAATTTTATCAATTAAATTTTTTTATTATCAAATCCATAATCTTGTTCGTTTATTAAAAGTTATCTATACTATCATTAAATAATATCTTTTCTCACATACCTATCAATTATTATTATTATTTTGATAATATAATAAGTGAAAAAATTAATTAAAAAGCCATTAATGCTCCAAATCTTTAAGCTATAGTAGATTATTTTGATTTAATTCTCTCATTATTGTTTTAAATTAATATAAGTAAATAAAATTTCTTCATTTCAATCTTATTTTACATTTTAAATTGAATAAATAGAGTTTAGAAATATTAATATCATTTTGATACTTTATAAACAAACTAAAGTTAATTAAATACTCTAAATAATTTTAATGTAGATAAATTCAATTTATCTGTATTTGTGACTTTGTAATTTAAAGTAAAATGAATCAAACAATTTGGTATATTTAAAAAACTTGATAATTTTTTCAATCTTGATTCAAACTTATTATTAATTAAACAATATCAATCAAACTATAATAATCCAAAATATATATTAATAATTAATGATAATTTATTAATTTGAAAGTTTTTAACTTTTCTTTTAAAATTACTTTAATTTTTCACATTTAAATATCTAGATGAAATGATTATGTTATGGCTTTCTATTTTACCTTTTCTATATCTATTAAAAATTCTCTAATTTTTTTTAAGTTTTTTAGAAGTAGAACTATTTTGAAGAGGAGATATTGAATTAAAATTTTTCAGGTCGCATTCAATATTTATTAACGGAAGTAAAATTGGAAGATCTTTAAAAAAGATTTACTTATGAACTTAAACTGCATAGTAGGATTTCTTTTCTTAATTATTATTCAATGTGAGGAAGGATTGTTTAGTTTTCAACTTATGTGTTACCTAATGAAGAAAACTCAAATTTTCGATTTTTTGAATGAGTCTCATACTTTATTAAAAAGATATTCCTTAAAAATTAGTGTATTTTGCTTTTCAAATGATTAGCTTAATTTGGTAAGTTTTGTTTTTAATGGATTTTTTTAACATAAGAAGATAGAAAAATTATACAAAAAGTACTTAATTCAAAAATAAAAATAAATTAATATTTTATACATTTTGATTGCTGATTTAGCTTAATAACAATAAAAAAAAAACGCTTAGAATTGAAAATTAAAACTTAAAAATCTAATTGAAGTAGTAATAAATAATTACCCATCTATTTTGAAAATCAAATTTCATGATATTTTATTTTCTTTTGTTTAAAATTCTAGAATTTTGATACACTTTCAGAAAATATCCAGAAATTTTTCTGTCTTTATCCTTTAAATTTGATTAAATAATTACTCAAATTTTGATTTCTTCCATGATTTATAATAATACTTGAGCTTTAAATGGCTATTTTTCTTTTATTGAGATTATTTTTCTTAAATAAAGAAAAATTTCAAAATTTTTAAAATATAGCCAAAATAATAAATTAGATATTTATTATCAAACTCATAATTTTCTTTTATATTGTACTTATTTTAATAAATATAATCTAAATCCATGAAAATTGGATTAACCTTGTATATAAGGATGAGAGAGATGACTAGAGGGAAACCCAGACTATAACTATGATGGAGAATTCTGGGAACCCTTCAAACAAGGGAAGGAGTATTAAGTCTCTCTTCTTTCAGTCTCAAAAAATGGCTTCAGTTTAATTTCAGGCTCTCATACTATAAGGAGTTCAGATTGTATATAGCTCAAGTCACTTGAAGAATTTGATTTTTTTTTCTAGAAATCCCTTAAAATCTTTATAATTATAATTTCTTAATTCAATGACGTAGTGTGCACTTTACATATTAAAGTACCTAATTAATAACAAAATTATTATTTCAGTGATCCAATTATATCATATGTTAAATATTATTATAATTCATTCAAATTGTTTAAAACATTATAATAATTCATCATGAAATTTTTTCAATTGATTTCAAAAACAAAAGATGATATATTATGTTTATAAATAGAACAAGAGTTACATAATTTATGGAAATTAAGATTTGTGTCTATAAGGAATTACATAATAAAATTATTAAAATTTTAATAATAATGTTTTATAAATACCAAATGATGAATGTAAATGGGCATCTACTAAGAAATGTCTTATGAAAAAAAAAAAGGAATTAAGTTCACATTAAAACATAAAAATATTTAATATGATGTATTTAATTTAATTAAGTTAGTTCATTAATAATACTTCAAATTTTCTATTTTATATGCGCAGAGTGAGGTTTTATAGTATAATACCTATTCAAATAAAAAATGATTACCCTTATTCTTAGAGGCCATTGCATACTTAGGATTCAGTTGGATTGCCTTATCAAAGCAAACTATTGAATTGTAATATTTTCCAAGATCAGCAATCGCAATTATCTTAATATTTCTTTTATTATAATGAATACCCTTACAATAATAAACTAATAAATTACCCTTCATGAGGCTTTATCAATGCATTAAATCTCTTATTAATGTTCATAATATTTTAATTTCCTATTTAATTTGAAAGAAAAGCCTATTAAAAAAATAAATGATTACTTTTTCTATACTAAGCATGGAGATGTGAAGGTTCTTCTATCAAAACCTTTTCACATTACTCAATTGCTAATTGATATTTCTTTTCATCATTTAATGCATAGTCTATTAAAATTATTGATTATATTAACTTTTTGCAATTAAAATAAATTAATTTTTTGCATTTTTCCTCTTCTCTTAATCTGAATTATCCAATAGATCTAAATATAAGTTGCTATTAATTGGCTTTTTCTCTCATTACAATCCCTTTTCCAGGTTGATTCATTTCAATTATAGCAAAAGATATAATTAAATAATTTATAAAGAAATACATTAATTATAGATTTAAATAATTACTTTTAAAAAATGAAGCTAATGATGATTATTTCTCTAAAAATTTTAAGTTAAATTTATTTTTTCATTATCCTACCATTTCTTCTAATATAATAGTTCTATTCCTAATTTGTTTAAAAAATGGAATACCTTATTCAAGTGTTATTTAATAATCTTGTTAAATACTCTTACTTTATTATTAATTGTTTTCTAAATCCAAAGTTTGAATCATTCTTTTTATTCTAAGTAGAACAATTAAATATATTAATGAATAATTATAATTAAGTTCCTATTAATAATAAAAATGTAAAAATACCAATTTCATTCTACATCATGATTTCTTCTTGATTGTTTGAATATTTATACCATTCCTAAATCATTTACAAATTGTCTTTGATTTATTAATAATCATATTAACTAAAACCTTCAGATATTTTAATTAATTATATTTTCATATTATTCAATTATTTTGTGAATTCTTCTTATTTTTTTTGATTGATGAATAGGATTTATTTAATTAGTTAGTTAAATCAAATATATACTAATTGAATTAATAATAATAATAATATTAATAAATTATAGTTATATACTAGAAATCTATATTAATGATAATTAAGGAATTCAATTAAATAATTATAATCTTATTAATTTTGAAAGGATATCTTTATTTGTTTTATTATCCACTAGAGAGTAAGAAGAAGTAAATGTAATCAATTTCAAGTGATAAGTCTGGTTTTGCTTTTGATTAAATTAAATGTAAATATTTTTCTATTATGTATTGAAGAGTAAATCACATTAACTAGAATTTATATACGTTGGACTCTCCAATAGTTGTTCAATAATGAATGACATTTTCATTGAAATATATGGTCTTGAAGGACAGAAACATTTAAACATTGAATTCAAGACTGCTATTTGAGATCAATTAAAATTAAGAGAAGCAGTCAAAGATAATAGTGCTACATGTTTATTTTTTTAGATACTTTTTCATTAATTTTAGAGATACTAATCTTTACTAAATATAAAACTAATTAAATTTAAATTTATTATGCTGATTCTAGTAAAATATTCTAAAAACTTATTTGGAATCAGATTAACCCAGTTGACTAATAATTAATAATTCATGAAAATGATTTATATCACCTCTAATCATTATTTTGATTTTGTCATTCTTGGCAAGATGAGTTCATATCTTCACAAAAAATAATTACACTTCTCTATTTTAAATACATAAAAATTGTTAAAAATCCTTGACTCATCAAATAGATCAAAGAATATCAATAGATAAGATTATCATTAGTGCAAAAGTAATAATTTTTTCAAATCATAAAGCGATATACCATTTTTATTCCAACAGATAATATCATATTATTATTTTTATTTACAATTTTCAATTTTTCCAAATTTATTTTCAAAAGTTTAAGTCATAAGATTTATTACAAGAATGACTAAATGTAATTTTAAATTAGAAAGCAAGGTTTGGCACAATGATAATCATTCATTTTGATTTGGTATAATAAAATCAGCCACACTCCTTAAATTAATTAAATATTTATATGTAATTAATTATTAACTCCTTCCTATTTAGTTCTCTTGATCACAAATGATCTAAATTAATTAGATTACTTTCCTTAAAATTAAATTATCATAGATGATGCTTTCATATTTCATTCTCTTATATTCTTACATAGTAGTAGATATATCGTCTTACTACATCTTATTATGAAAGCACCTTCAAATTAGAATATCTCATTGGGTCAAATAAGCATCTTCTAATTCTAAAATACCTAAATCAACATTATTATCTTCTTTACGATGTTTGATTATCCTCCTTTCTTTGTTTCTCTTATTCCTTAAATTATTTCCCCGATTCCCCAAGGATCTGCCTTTACATTCTTAATTTGCTTTATCCAATAGTTCCTTACCATTTATACTCTTATTTCTCCAAATTTATAAAGTATATTCTTCATCATTCTCATGAACTAATAAATAATATATTAGGTAGATATTTATCTTCATTTAACAACAATTGATATATTAATATCCCTTTTATATAGATAATAATAAGTTCCTTACCTGGAATTGCATTCCATTTATGAACAATAAGTTTACTTAATTTCTTAAATATTCTAATTTCTGATAGAATTAGAATTTAATTCATCATTTCGCTTTCTGTTAAATTCTGTCTCTTTCAAAAATCTCTTCCTTTATTCAATTTTTTAGATTTACTACAAAGTAGGC